CTTCTCTTCTCATAAGATGGCCAAAGTACTGGAGCCTCGGTTTCAGGATCTGTCCTTCCAGTGAGCACTCAGGGCTGATTTCCTTCAGAATTGATACGTTTGATCTCCTTGCAGTCCAGGGGACTCTCAAGAGTCTTCTCCAGCACCACAATGCAAAAGCATCAATTCTTTGGTGGTCAGCCTTCTTTATGGTCCAGCTTCACTTCCATACAACACTACTGAAAAAACAATAGGTTGGACTATGCGGACCTTTGTCGCCAAGGAGATGTCTCTCCTTTTTAAGATGCTGTCTAGGTTTTTCATTGCTTTCCTCCCAAGAAGCAGGCGTCTTGTTATTAATACAGCCTGGAGGCAGGCGTTGCATCACAGCCTCTCCCAATTTGAAGAGACCCTTGTCCAGCAGGCCGAGGCTAAGAGGCAGTCCCGAAAGCAGCAAAATCAGGGAGCTGGACAGGGGACAGATTGTATTTGTCTTCAGTGTGGAAGGAATTGTCACTCTCAAATTGGCGTTCTTAGCCACACTAGATGCTGTTCCAAGTTCTCCATACAGAGCACGTTACCATAGTCTCTCGAGACTGAAGGATGCCTAATCAAATCACTTATTAATAAAAAATACAATTACCATAACTCCACCACTCCCAACAACATTAAGCCTACCAGTGTAAATTTCAGCAGCTAATTGCTGTTGGTTAAGTAATAGGTAGCACTACTTGTTGCATGTCAATCACATGGGGTGGTACACAAAAACAAATACAACTGCAGACTTCTTAACAAGTGGCAGTATGCAGATGAAATTTACACCATTGGATTTCTGCCAGCTGGCATACGTAACAGGGCTCTAAGCTATCTTCTACTTATGTATCTTCTCTGTTACTTGTAAAGTGCCTTCAAATGATTTCAAATCCTAAAACACAGGAGAGAATCCTGTTCGCCTCTTCTGCTCTTATGACTGGCTAGACAGTTTCCAAGATTGCACAATGTAGTATCAGGTACTATCTCCTTGTATACGCTGAGAAATTGTTCAACAATTCATGCAACAGGCCACTATGCAAGCAAAAGGAACACACAGGGTGTAAATAACTATAACATTGGTTGTTGTGGGTTTTTTGGGCTCTTTGGCCGTGTTCTGTTCTTCCTAATGTTTCGCCAGTCTCCGTGGCCGGCATCTTCAGAGGACAGAGACTGGTGAAACAGAGACTGCAAAACGTTAGGAAGAACAACCTTCAGAACACGGCCAAAGAGCCCGAAAAACCCACAACAACCATGAGATCCCAGCCATGAAAGCCTTCATGAATACAACTATAACATTCTTACTGTTTGATCTCAGATTTTATCTTATTTCATTTTTACATGGAACAGCTTTCAACTCAATGTTCATTCATTCTTATTATCTGCTGGCCTGTTCAGTTCTCGCAAACTCAAGCCTGTGGCTTCCTTTAGAGAACCAATCCATCTTGTATTTGGTCTTCCTCTTTTTCTGCTATCCTCCACTTTTCCCAACATTACTATCTTTTCCAGAGAATCTTGTCTTCTCATGATGTACCAAAGTAGGACAGCCTGCGTTTTAACATTTTTCTCTCCAGAGATAGTTCAAGGTTGATTTGATCTTGGCCTAACACTAAAGCACAGTTTACCACTATAGGCACAGGCCCTTGTTTTTCCTTCTTTGCTTCTGGACCAATTAGAGGGAAAATATAATAGACATGCTTAGTTGAGTTTTCAACCAAGCAATCTATTATGTCATGTCCAAATCAGGAACAGTAATAAGTATTACTTTTTGTTTATTAAAATAAACCACTATTGAAGCAGACTTCTTGTACATATGTGCAATCTGCATGCTTCTGGACATTCTCTGTAAACTCCGTGGATTTCTGCTATAGAATGACTATCTCTAGGGAATATAACACTTTCATGCTATATGCAATAAGGAAACCACAATCTGGGGTTAAGACTATTGGGCAGAAATAGAAACTTTAATCTCCTGCCCCCACTGCAATCCTGGTGAAGACTCTTAGAAGTGAGGATGGAGGGGAGAGGGTATGCATGAATATATGTGAGTGAAAAAATTAAAAGGTATGTATATGAGCTATGTATATATCTCAGGCCCACCCACTGTCACCCAACATCTCCCAACCCATGCAAGTGTTTTGCAGGGACTAATATGGTACCTGGCCCCCAAAAGGTATCCACTTTTAATTTATAATAACCAGTTTGCCCAAATTTAACCATAATCACATGAGAGGAAAAGGGGGGAGGGGTGCAAGTTTTCAGTCAGAGGAAAGTAAGAGATGTATGATTAGCAGAACACAGCATTATGGCTTTTGAGAATATTTTAACCAAGTATTAATTTCTAAAATGCACTATAACAGTTCTGTTAAATGCTACATCCCAGGTGGAAAAACTGCACATTTGCAGTTCAGATGTACAGTATCAGACTGCAACTCTCAAACCTAACCAGTTCAGACAATCATGAGGAATGCTGGGCTTTGCAACTCAACATCTGAAGGACTAAACTGTCCCCACACCTGCAGTAAACTGATAATCAATGTGAATAACTGGAGATAGCTTTAAAATGCATGTTTGGAATTGTGAAGACTTTTATCTGTGTATAAATGGCCTCTTAAAATTCTCTGCCCTGTTTTTGCATTGTGAAAGTAGGGGAACAATTTCATGAAATTCCTCATAAAAAAGAAACAATCCAACAATTTCTCAACAATGGAGCTCACTATTAGTCATGCTTGTAATAAAACTTCTTTCTAAGGGTTTTTCATTTTGTGCTAATACTGCAAGTGGAAAAAGCAACATCTCTGCAGAGACTGTGCCTAGTCACATTTTGCATCCTCCATAGAATCCCATACTTGTTCTGGCAGGGGAGGAACAGCAGATGACCACCATGTACAACATCTGAGAAAATTTAGAGAAATTCTGCAAATCAATTTAGAAGTGGGGGGGGGGGGAATCCCAGGGATGGATGGCTAAGAAAAATAAACCTTTCAGAATGTTTCTCCGCCTTCTGAGAAATTTTGGCTAGTTGTCATTCTTGAAGGTCCTGAAACTGATGAGGTATTAGAGATACATATTACGTCAAAACTTACAAGATAACTCTTTCCATGGAAACCCTATATGAGAGGGGCAGTGTTGCATTCAGGTCCCAGAAAAACTGAAATGCTGGTACTACGTGAAAATATATCCTAAAAAAGTAACAGGTGCCTTTTCTTTCCTACTGCACATCTCTCCATTATTCTTCCTGATGTTTTATCTTATTATGCCTTCACTGTGCTTTAACAGAAATCCAGGAAGCATGGGAGGCTAATAACAGCCAGAGATGTGATAGTTCAATGAAAGAAATTCACATAAAATCTTAGGTCGCAACACAGGTAAAATGTTACAGAAAAAATACTTCCAAAAAGCACAGAGTGTGCTGCTTATATACCACCCCATAGCACTTAAAACACTATCTGGGCAGTTTACAAGTTAATCATGCTGCCTACACATTTCCCGCCACAGCAAGCTGGGTACTCATTTTACTGACCTCAGAAGGATAGAAAGCTGAGTCAAACTTGAGCCAGCTAGCTGGGTGAGCAGTTTTGGATGCAGTACAGCAATGTAACCACTGTTCCACAAGGCTCTTCCGAAATAAATGTAGTCAAAGTTTACTAATTCTGGGTCACTGAGAATGAAAATGATACTTAAGATTGTTGATTGGCTCTAGTTTTCAAGATATGCTATTGGGTCAACATATACAACCCTTGACTTGGAAATGGTGGAGGATAAGTGAGTTATAAAGGCAATGGACCTCAACTTAAACCACAAATGACTAAAATACATCATTGACTGGTTCTATGAATACATTTATGACTGGGTTTGGACACTACTTGCTTTTTAAGCACAGCAATTTTAGCCTGCAGCAACACTGATGGCATGATGGCAGCCCTCAACATTGTTCACGATCCAGGTGAGTGGAGTCAGTTCACTGATTCATCAGAGAAAAATCTTAAAGCTGTTTTGCTGCATAATGGCAATATTCTGCCATCAATTCCAGTTGGCCATGCAGTCCTTATGAAGGAAACATATGACAACATGAAACAAATTCTGAGGTACATAAACAAAGTCTTTGGTCCTGGATACGTAAAAAGCTAAGGACCGTCGAACATCGAGCATGTGGAGCATGCGTTCAACATCAGTCGTCGGAGACGGAAACAAAGTCGGCAGAATAAGTGGCTGGTTGACGTGGAAGTCGGAGACCACCTTAGGAAGAAAAGAGACGTCCAGGTAAAGCATAACCTTGTCCTTAAAGAACTGAAGAAAAGGTTGGTCATGGCGGAGAGCTGCCAACTCGCTAGCTCGACGAGCAGAGGTGATAGCCACTAGGAATAGCGTTTTTAAAGAGAGCATTTTGAGGTCACAGGTAGCCATAGGTTCAAATGGGGGTCTGGATAGGGCATGCAGAACCAAATGGAGGGACCACTGAGGGAGTGGAGGACGAACGGGAGGTCGGAGGTTATCCGGTCTTTCTCCCCCACTGCGAGGCTTCTCCCAAAGCGCTGCGCCCGATGGAGGTTTCAGCAGCGAAGAAGCCTCACGGTGAGGGAGAAAGACCGGATCGGCTCCTGCCTTTCTTCCCCGCTGCCCAGCTTCTCCCAAAGGGCTGGCCCGATGGTGGTTTCAGCAGCGGAGAAGCTGCCTGGTGGAGGAGAAAGGCCAGATTGGCTCCACTGGGCAGCTTCTCAGCTGCTGAAACCATCATCGGGCACAGCACTTTGGGAGAAGCCTTGCCATGGGGGAGAAAAACTGGATCGGCTCCTGCCTTTCTTCCCCGCTGCCCAGCTTCTCCCAAAGGGCTGTCCTGATGGTGGTTTCAGCAGCAGGGAAGCTGCCTGGGGGGGGAGAAAGGCCTGGAACAGATTAATGGGTTTTCAATGCATTCCTATGGGGAATGCATTTTCGATCTACGGACTTTTCAACCTACAGACACAATTCCAATATGGATTAAGTCCATAGGTCGAGACTCCACTGTATGACCAACATCAATTGCAGCTTTGTGGCAACGTGAAGGTGGACCTATGGACACAATTCCAATATGGATTATGTCCGTAGGTCGAGACTTCACTGTATGACCAACATCAATTGCAGTTTTGTGGCAATGTGAAGGTTGTTAATTTCTTGCTTGGTCTGCAGACAGGATAAACAAAGTACTGCTGTTTTCTCTGTGAATGGAATAGTTGTGCAAGAGATTCTCACTACATCAAGACACACTGGCCACTCTGACAGTCATTGGAGCGTTGGAGGAAAAGTGTTGAGACTCCACCACTTGCTGAATCAAGGAAGAATTTGTTATCACTCTTACACATCAAGCTGGGACTGATGAAGAACTTTGTCAAGGCCATGGGCAAAACAGAAGCAGCTTTCAAGTATCTCAATGGAATATTTCCAAGGTTAAGCTAAGATAAAGCAAGATGTCTTTGTTAGTCCTTAGATTCATGAACTTATTTGAGATAATGTATCTGACCAAACAGTAATATTAGAATTGTTAAGCTGTATGTTTGGAGAGAAGTAGCCATATTTGTCTGTCTTTTTAAAAAAACTACTGTGTCACCCTTAGGGGCCTATCAAATTTATTTCAATGTGACCTTTTGTGGATTAAATTTGATTACAAATTGGGTACCTCATAGTGGAGCAAGAGATTGTGATTTCAATTCACTTAGTGTCTCCTGACAGAAGACCTTTGAGCAAGCTGCACAGTCCCAAAGCAATCCCAGAAGAAGGAATTATAAACCATTTCCGAGTGCTGTATACTGTACTTAGAAAACTGTAGAAAGAGTTGCTGTAAGTCGAAGTCAATGAGACAGCACGTTGCTGTTATTATTACTTCAGACATGTACAGTATGTCTTGATCCCTTGTATCAGAAGAGGTGAACTGAAATCCATGAAAGCTCACACTTAAATAAATGTGCTAATCTTAAACTGCAACAATATTTTTAATTTAATTTTAAATTGTATGTGAAAGTCTATAGAGCTGATAGTTTGTTTACACAATTAAACAGAAACACTGTGCAGACGCAGCACGCCCATTCAAGCTATATGGATCACCGAGAAGAGTGGAGGTTACTTCTAAGAATATACTCACTGATGAAAATGCAGAGGAAAATCCCTTATACACATGTTATACAAAGAGACAAAAAAGACAAAAGGTTAAGCAGCATCTTCTGAACCATGGGAAGTGGAGAACAAGCATAGTATTGCTGTTTCAAGTCCTAACTCTTATCTTAATTATGCCAATGGGGGAATCTACTATATGCTACTGCTGTACTAGAAAGCAATTACTTCCTACCTACACTGTTCCTCCTCACACTCTGCTGGCTAAACAGATTGTCCAGATGTCATTAACAAGGCAAAGTCTATTATTATCTTTATTTATTTGTTTGTTTTTATTTAAAATATTTTACTCTGCCTTTCTGCTTAAAAAGAATCCAAGGTGGCTTACATCATTAAAAGATCATATTTAAAAGCTCAAAACTGTAAGTACTGTATACAAATATTTTTAAAGAATCAAATGAGTATCAGCACCAAAAACAGATCCAAAGCAACAAGACATAATACTCATTTAAAAACCCCTCTCAAGACAGCCAATCACAAAGGGAAAGCTTGTCCCAAGAGAAAGATCTTCATCTGTTTGCAAAAGGACCACAAAGATGAGGCCAAACTGGCCTCCTGTGGGATGGAGTTCTAGAATCTGGATGCAAAGACAAGAGAAGGCCCTCTCCTGTGTCCCCGCCAAACACATCTGTATGTGTGTGATTAATAATGAGAGCAAACCTGGTAAAAGGGAAACTGGAGACAGAGAGTGACCTCAATCTAGAGAAATCCCATCAGATAAGTTGTAGAAGGGGTAGCCATGTTAGTCTATGCAAGCATTATACATATTATTTCCCTTCCCTAGACAGCGTTGCACTCCTCCTAAAGGACAAGGTCCGGAGCCTGGGGGTGCTCCTTGACCCTGGTCTGACCTTGGAAGCCCAGGTGGACCCTGTGTCCAGGGGTGCCTTCTTACAGCTGCAGAGAATATATCAACGTTGCCCTTACCTGGATCAGTGGAACCTGGCAACAGTCACACATGCATTGATAACAACCAGACTGGACTACTGCAATGTGCTATACATGGGGCAGCCTTTGAAGACAATCCAGCAACTGCAACTAGCACAAAACCGGGCTGCGCGGCTGGTAAGTGGTGCTGCCGCGCGGACTCGTATTACACCGTTTCTGAAAAATTTACACTGGCTGCCAGTTGCTGCTCGGGCCCAATTCGAAGTGCTTACTCTGACATATAAAGCCCTAAACAGCTTAGGACTGGGTTACCTAAAAGACCACCTTCTCCCACACAAGCCTGCCCTTATTCTAAGATCAGGCCAGGAGGTCCTTCTGAAGGTGCCATCCCTGAAAGAGGTGAGGGGGATGGCAAATCAAAATAGGGCCTTCTCGCCTGTTGTCCCCCCCCAACTTTGGAACACCCTTCCCATAGAGACCCGCCTGGCTCTGACACGTTTGGCTTTTCAGCGCCAGGTAAAGACCTTTCTGTTTAGCCAGCATTTTAATTAAATAGTATCCTTTAGCTGGCCAAATGAGCAGCAGGATTTATTAATGATAAATTGACTGTTTTAATATTGGGTACTATTATAATATTGGGTATTATTTTAATGGTTTTTAATGTGGTTCTAAAAGTTTTAATATTGCTGTACACTGCTCAAAGACCATTGATAACGGCACAGCTAAAAAAATCTTTTAAATAAATAAAAACAAATTAAAAATTAAAAATATAAAAATAAACGCCCATTGTGCATGCACATGAGAGCGCCCGCACGAGCACTCTCCCGCTCCTTCATGCATGCGCATGATCAATGTTATATTCTTTAATATGAGCTTTATTGGACAAATATACTTCATCAAGAGAAGATCTCCACTCCCTCTACCTACCACTACAAAGGTCATGAGAAGCAGGTAACAGCAATTTGATAACCTTCGTCATGGCTGAATACACATTCAAACAAGATCCCTCTCATACCTCCAGCTACCAAAAGCTATTAATGAGCTCATCAGAGGAAAAGAAATTCATGCTTTGATCCAGCTTCATGATTGGGTGAAATATGACCTGCTGAACTCATCTAGGAACCCAGTACAGGAGTTAGCTCTCTCCAACCAACCCTATGCCTGATCAATTTCTTTTCCCTGTATCCCATGTGTGCAGACAGAACCATTTTACTACAGTATTTCTATTAACTACTCTGGGGTAAGCCTTCATCACCAATTTACAGGATGGTCTACAGCAGTGGTTCCCAACCTTGGGTCCCCAGATGTTCAACTCCCATCTGGCCAGCTCAGCTAGTGGTGAAGTCTTCTGAGAGTTGTAGCCAAGAACATCAGGGCCCCCAAGGTTGGGTACCATTAATCTAGAGCAGAAGTCCCCAACCCCTGGCCCACGGCCTGGTGCCGGTCCATGGCCTGAGCTGGACCGGGCCGCGGAGACAAACTTTCCCCCACCCCCACCTGCACTCCCCCCTGCACAGCCCCTTTGCGCATGCGCCCACGCAAGCACTCCCCCACCCCTTAGCACACGCGCACAAGTGCTCGCTGAGCGCCCTTCGTTCACGCACTCGAGCCTGCCTGCACGAGCTGTCTCCCGCTCCTTCGTGCATGCACATGAGCGCCCACGCAAGAGTGTGCCTGCTCCTTCACACATGAGCACGAGCGCAGGGGGTGCCCTGTGTTCACCAACCAGTCCGCAGGGTTAAAAAGGTTGCAGACTGCTGGTCCAAAGTATCAATCTACAGTTAACAAATCTCAGTTATAATACACACAGGCAGAAACTAGGCTAATATCTTCACTCAAAGAATTCATGTTAAATCTGCACTGTACAGTTCAAATGGTGAACAGAAATAACTATTTTTATTACTGTATAAGATTTTTTTAATGTGCATTCAAGTTATGGTCCATGCTGCTCAAAGCAGGCAAGTCTCAGTTTCCAGTACCTTTCTGTATATCTATGGGGCATCTGAAACACTAACACTATACTGTATTCTAACACTAGTCTTCTGATGAAGTA